TCCTCCTCATCCTCCTCATCCTCCTCATCCTCCTCATCCTCCTCATCCTCCTCATCCTCCTCATCCTCATCCTCCTCATCCTCCTCATCCTCCTCATCATCCTCATCCTCATCCTCCTCATCATCCTCATGCTCATCCTCATCCTCATCCTCATCCTCATCCTCATCCTCCTCATCCTCATCCTCATTCTCATCCTCACCCTCATCATCCAGAAGTGTCTTTCGACATCCTAAGTTTAGAGGTTCGTGGGTTCTATATAGATGCCCTTGCCTCTTGGGAGTTGCTTCTACAATTGAAAGCAGGTCGCTCACTTGTCCAGTGCTTTGGCAAAGTCATCGTTTGGCAACATATGTGAATAGGTCAGATATTCCCGACAACTGGTCGCCCAAGAAAACCAACTACATCCATCTACTATAACTATGATGGGACCTACCCAAAGTATCTCCCTCGTCTATAGCCGTCTTTCTTTAGCAAGAGAACCATGTACTGATCATCGGCCATCACTGTGCCCTTCAGGTCATGAAGATGGTGATAGCTTGGGTCGGTGACTCGCTTGGTTCCCTTTTGGAAAGTGTACTAGATAGGTGATTTATTTGGTGTTTTGGTCATTCGGAGTCATTCGGCAACTACAAGTCAAAACGAGTAAGAACAAGAAAGACCTCGTCTCCCTTGGCCAGAGAGTCGGACAAAGACAGCTTCATGGAAGAGATGCCTTTCATCTTCCTGCCTTCCTGCATCTTAGCACCTGGTTTTCGGCGGTATGGAGGGAGTGGCCCTGTCCACCATGCGCCCAGTCCGCCAGGCGTTGAGCAGATGGGCCAACGGATGCTTCAAGGAGGGGCGGATCGAACTAGGTCCTAACGAGGTGAACGGGGGGGGAGAACCCACCCCACCTTGGACGTTGGGCTTTTGCGCTCTTCTTCCAAAAAGCCCATGGAGGGACAGGGACACTTTTGGGAAAAAACACCGTGTTGCATCTGGCCTGATGGTCAGGTGTTTGGCCGGCCCCAAGAGATCCCTATCACCGGCCTCCTTTTGGCGGATCTGTGCCGTTCAGAACCTTCGCTTCCACCAACTCCGTGGCTTCTTTGGGTCCAAAAGACTCAAAAGTAAGAGGACGATGATGACACCATGGCATATGGCGAACTGGGGATTCCCATCGGCGAACGTCATGGCTCCACAAGACCGAGACCGACTGGCGGGAGACGTTCCCAGCGAGACCGGAATCGACGACCAAAGCCGGGGAGGTCAACATCTGGCCTGATGGTCAGGAGGTGTTCAAAGCCCCAAGAGTGAGTTCGGGGCTCCAGGTGCCATGACGGGTGTGTTGCACCGATCAGACCGATCGCACCGACAGCGATCCGACGGTGCATTTGGCTGACTGAGATCTCGTGCGTCATCAACATGGTGATGGCCTACAGCTTTTTGAGCACCTTCGGCTGCAGGTTATATGCCCTAGGGCTCCAACCACCTCCTGAGAAGATGGTTGGGGTGGGTGCCAGCAAGGTCTAACCACCGAAACTGAGGATATGGTTGGAGCCCTAGGGATGCTTCCTTTTGATTGGTCGACACCCCCGGTGGAACCACCGTGGTCGACTCTGTCAGGTCGCTGTGGGTGTCGTGTGGGTGTCGTGTGGGTGTCGTGGACCCACACCGTGGACGGTGCGAGTGTCTATCTTGTGGGTCAACTCCTGAGGTTGGCTGATGACACTATTGGACATAATATGACACTATAGAGGAGGACTGTAGGAGACATATAAGTTTTTCTCATCAGGTGGGCTGATGACCTCATTTTGTGGGCTTTTTCCTGATCTGGTCTCCGGGTCCGAATGCTTCGACGAGCAACGAAAACGAGGCAAAGCAGACGAAGCAATCCAAGAGGTGGAGGATCTCTTCAAGGCGAAGGGGCCTCCGGTCCAAAAAAGAACACCGTCGGAGATCGGGCAAGACACAGCAAGTCCTTGATCCAGTAAAGTTCTCTGGTGTTATAAGGTCCTTTGTTCAGCATTATATAAATCATCAAAATCAATTAAAATCTCTTTTAATGAACTCATCTGTCGATCCAGACGTGCTGATGCCAGGGCTGTCCTCCTTCCAAAGTCCTGGGTCGAGCTGTTCTAGTTCGAGGTGTTTCCAAACTGGTACGTGCTTTGGCGGCAATCTTGAGAGCTGATCGTTTTGCGCAAAGCTCCTATCCAGCCGGCATGCATACACTTGTATGATCTTGTGGACTTTCCACAGGTGCCTTTTTCCCCTTTTTTTGGTACAACAAAAAGACAACGACACCCGGTGGACCGATATCAACGAACAGGACCGGGATGGACGGCAGTCGCTCCATTGGACGGTATTTTCGTTGCCCATTTCGACAACGGTCGAAGCGGTCGAAGCAGTAAACTGCCCGCTTTTTTCTGGAGCAGTTTGCAGGTTTCCATGGAAGAGGCAGCAACATTGCCATACCATGCTATACCCAAGAAGACCCATGTACAAAAAGATCAAAACGATAGAAGTGCCTTAATGATGATTTGGTGGTTGGATGATAACAGAACAGGAGATGCTTGAGTTGGTTTGCCAATGTGCTCCATTTTGTTTTGTACTGTATGGTTTTTGCATGTTTTGGGGTTTTCTATGATTGTTTGCACTCCAAGAAAAGTTACCAAACCCCTCTTTGATCTTCATGTTGTCCACTGTCCACCTCCAAGTTGGCCACAATCGTCAGCGCTATCGTCTTCCACATCGAGACATCCTGGTTGAGGCTGGACCGGTGCCTAGTTGATGGGAGATAGGATTGGGTTTAGGATGGTTTATAGTGGTCCCCTATCATAGATGACCGGCTTGCACGCTTTTCCTGTCTACATTTGCTACGTGGGGATCGATGACTATCTATGACAGGGAGTCTATATATAGGATATATATGACAGGGAGTCTATATATACAGGGAGTCTATAGGATACTTTAAGTCTATATCTGATCAGATTAGCCTTCAAGTAGCCAAAGAGAGGTAACACCGACCTTGAGGATCCAAAGGAGGCGCTTGGCGATCCGACAGGACTGATCGTCAGAATGCCTCCACTACGTTGGTGGTTGGTGATGGTTGGTTGACACTTGAGGTGGTATGATCGTTTTGATTCTGAAACCTCTTCAACTAGAAGTGGTATACATATAATGAGCAAGTGGTATACCAAGTGTGGGGTATGATCGTTTTGATTCTGATTGTTGGTCCTCTTCGTGAAACTTACGAAAGCTGGTAGCAGATGAGAAAACTGCAGCTGGCACTAAAAGCCGGGATGCATCTCCAAATGGACGTGGAGATCTCGGTTCACACGCGGCGAACATATAGGCTGACGGTCCCTCAGTTGCAGTTCGGGACTGGACCTTGGACCTGGGGCCCCGTGGAGACCCCATCCCAACAGCAAGCAGTCAGTGGATCCCGCGGTATTCCGGCAGCGGTGGATTCACGGTGAGTGAAGCACCTTGCGAAGGTGCAAAGGGCAAGACTTGAAGATTCGTTTGGTCAGGTGGTGATCAAAACAACATCATATCCATCCGAATCCGTTGGATATGAACCATGCCCTTGCCCATCAAAGATACCCTCCCTCCAACAATCATGGAAGCTGCCCTCGTAGCCGTTAAGGAAGTGGTCTCCAGGGGCCTATGTTGCTATGTTCCACTGTAGCTTTCCACTCACTCAGTACAAGTCTCTAGACAGTTCGCAGTTCGCTCCACTCTCCTGTGCAAACATGAGAAAAGCTTCTGGTCCCCGCTTCCAATAGCTTCCAGGCAGCCCACCTCCTGATGAGGGCAGAAGAGATTCTGGTGCACGCTGCTGGCGAGGTGCTTCGGGCATTCCCAGTAGGAATGCGTGCTTGCTGTCAGTGTGTCCAGCTTCAGGGACCATAACATACGATACCAGAACTTACCGTTCTCGGTAAATCTAGTTCGATATTTTTCAACCTTGGTTGGCTTCGCCGTTTTTCGCCGGAGAAATGCCGATTGGGGCCGACCTGGGCACGACCGCCCCGGTCGAACGCGCGGCACAGGGTGGACCGTTCACCTGACTTGGTCACGACCCATCCCCTTGTCATGGGGCCCCAGGCTCTCCTCAACGCTGATAGAGGAGTCATGTCCAACGAACATGCGCATGAAGTTGAAGCACATGCAAGAGGATCGGGCCTAAAGAGGTCTACGCCTTATAGGTGGAGATCCCCCTTGCTGGGGTGGGGAAGCTAGAACTTCTCCGTGAGGGTGCCCCCCCCCAAATAGTTCGCGGTCGATGACAAGATGTACAAGGCATGAGTTTGTGCATCTACTTCCAGGTCAGGTCTAATTTCCAAGGGTGGTTGTGTCATGTTGTGTCAACCAAAGCATGTTTGACACTTCTGGATTCTTCTGTTTTGATCAGGCTGGACTGACCTTCAGCGTCAAGTAGTCACTCCCAAGACATCTGTATCGTGTTCTCGCCCGGCCGCGGCTTCTCCCCAGTGATCGTGTTGCCTTCGTGAATACGCTTCATCTGAACCTCTGAGTCAGCTTTGTATCAAAAGGGTATGGCACACATGAAGGGTCAGGCTCCAAACACTTAGACTTTCTGGACCAATCAGGAGAAAGCCCACGTTGTCCTTTGTTTGACCCGCAGGTGAATGAAGGATCCATCTACACGCGACTTGGAAGCAGAGAAGTTGGGGCCACTGGTGTAGATCCTGAAAAGATGAACTGGTCACTTCTACACCAGAAACTTCTTCCAAGTTGGATCAGTAGGTCAAGTCCTGCGCAGAAAAAGTCTTGCCAGAATATTGGAGGGCCACGATTTTTTGGGTTGCTTGTGAATACCACCAGCTATTTTGTGGTGGTTCCTCATGTTTTCTCGACCTCTTCGTGATGACTCTTCGTGATGGCGTTCGTGTGCTGAGGCATGGGAACCTGAGCGAGTTGTACTTGCACGATGTGGGCCATGTGCCAGAGCGGGACAGTGTTGGACAGAACGAAAGTGTTATTTTTTGAGTTGTGTTTTAATGCGTTTTCATTTTTTCATGGGAGAATTCCAAACACCAGGATCGCAAGAACACTGAGATCTTGGTGCTTGTTGTGAGGGTGGGGACATCCCCCAATACAGTTTTTGTCGGGTGGGCATGCCTTGAACTTGGACTTGACGTGGAGAGGGGTGAGGCTGAAAGAGCGGCCAAGAGGTTGAGCGCGAAACACAGATAGATAATTGAATACCCTAGCTTCTACCCCTTTATTTGGGCTCCTATATACCACACTGGTGGATAGGAAGTGGAATAGATTTGCAGACATACCATATCACCTTTTTCATGTCCACGGGTACATCACATTCGGGTCTCGGGAGACACTAAAGGATCATGTCACAATGCCACCAGATGACTTCACCATCTGAACAAGCACGGAGGAGTGAGGGTGCCCTGCACGCCTGCACGCCATGTCTGTGAGTCTGCATGAGTCTGCATGAGATTCCTCGATCCCATTCCGCCCCTTGAGGTACCTTTGGCGCTGCTGCACAACACCAAGAGTTGCCTCGTTGGATTAAAGCTTTGGGGCACCTCAACAGCAGGGAATGCCAAGGTTCGACCGTGCGAAGGTGGGCTTCCATTCGACATGATATTCGGGCCTTGGGCATCAACCCACCAAGGCCGTTCGAAGGTCAGGCCTTGCTTTTGTGATGTTGACCTATCCTTTTTCCTGCGCTTAGTTGTATTTGGTTCTATTGTTTCCAGAGTTTTGGACACCCCAAACCCAGACACATTCCAAGACAAACGACTTTTTCTTGTTTTGTGTTTTGCTTATAGTTGCCAATTCTTGGAATCTTGTCTTTTGAAATGCAAGATAGAATCGCAAACGCGACGTATCCAGGAACGAAAGGGCAGATCAAGTACTTTGAGCCGAAAGCAACATGTACACAATACGCAACAACGAGCCGATGAAGGGGCCTATTGCAATAGCAAAATTGTTTTTGCTCCGAGCCAAATCGAAGCACCTGTAGGCCAGTGTGCTACTATATATTATGGACTGCGCTCAAAAAGGCCTACTCAAAAACATAGATATATAAACGTAAACTTTAAGTTTGGAGATGTGTTGTTAAGTCTTCGTTTAGAAGCGGGCCCCCAGCAGACTATGGTGATACAGCAAGGCAGTGCTAGACTGGCGCTAGGTTGGCGCTAGATTTCTTCATAACAGGATAAGCAAGCAGGAAAAAGAAACAAGCAGAGAGCAGGAAAAAGAAGCAAGACAAGAAGAAAGAAAGAAAGAAAGAAAGAAAGAAAGAAAGAAAGAAAGAAAG